AAATCTCCAAACAAACAAAAGCCCAGGGCCAGACGGCTTCCCGGGGCTTTTGTTTGTTTGGAGATTTTTGATGACTGTTTCAATCTCCTTACTGGTTATAGGTCTGTTCAGGCTTTCTATTTCTTCCTGGTTCAGTTGTGGTAGTTTATATGTCTCTAGGAATGCATCCATTTCTTCCAGATTGTCAAATTTGTTGGCGTAGAGTTGCTCATAGTCCCAGATGCCTATTTAACTCTCTTCCACTTTGCCTGATTCCATAACTTCCCTTTTCCCCTCAATCACTGATAAGGGTGAATTGTCTCTCTTCTTTCTTGCTGAGTGCCACCATAATGCCTTAATACCATTGACTTCAGGTGTTTCTGGACTCTGATCACTATGAATATGTCTTCCACATATACCGTACTTCCTGCTCTGTACTTTCCCAGGCTATACTCTATACTGTCCCCTGGAATACCCTATATGGAATTCCTTCCCTGATAGTATTCATTTGCCTAAGTACAGAGTGTCTTTTTTTTCCCCCCGAGGAGTTGTTGGAGCTCCAGGCATCTCAGAATACCTGATGTTGGAAAATGTCTGTAGTTTTCTCCCATCAGTTTTTTTTTTACTCAACATTATAGTAGGTACTTTATAAAGCTGCCATTTGCCTGGAATAGAGAAAAGATTTATTCTTGGTAAGAGGGAACACAGTGGCCCTGGGTAATGAATATAGGAAAGAAGGTTCTAGGAGAGTTGGTGAGGGAACAATGAATTTCTGCCAAAAAAAAAAAAAAAAAAAAAGGAACAACAGTGTAGACCTAACAGAATAAGTGAATAAATCCCTCTCAGGCCTTGGTTGAGATAGAGCCCAAAGTAAGAGAAAATCCATGGCTATGCATAGGAAGGGTAGGTAGGGATGAGGCTTTCCTTGGGTGGAGGGTGTATTGGAAAGACGAAAGATACAGATGCATAATGTATTCTTTGTTTTTCAACTTGTGCTGATCTGGCCTGCAGGTGGCTTTTCTTTCAACAGATGGGATGCTGTTATGGAAAAGACTGTGTTATGTATGTATGTAAGACTATGTATGTAATGCTAACATGTGCAATTCTAAAATAATCTCCATGCATATCAGAACATGAAAATGAGGAGGGCCTGGATGGCTCGGTTGGCTAAGTGTCCCACTCTTGATCTCGGGGTCAGGAGATTGAGCCCCTGGTCAGGCCCCATGCTGGACATGGAGCCTGCTGAAGATTTTCCTTCTCTGTCTCCCCCTCACAACACCTCATGCTCTCTCTCTATCATTCTCTCTCTGTCTAAAAAACAAAACAAAACATGAAAATGACTGTTAGTGGAATAACCACTGCATTTTGAAAGCATGAGCATAGCCTTGACAATCAAGCTCAGATTCTCCAGAAATTATTCCTTAACTAAATTAGTGAGTTTTGATTTCTGTTTTCCTGACGCTTATACCTAATAATCTGTATCATATTAACCAGTCCTTCATTATGTGTCATACTGAATTTTTGTATGTACAAGTTTTATCTCCTTAGAGTTTAAAAAAGAGAGAAGGGTAGCACCTGGGTGGCTCAGTCAGTTAAGCATCTGACTCTTGATCTCATCTCAAGTCTTGATCTTGGTTGTTAGTTGAGCCCTGTATTGGGCTCCATGTTGGGTGTGGAGCCTACTTAAAATTGTTTTTAAGATTTTTAAAATTTATTTGACAGAAATAGACAGTACAAACAGGAAGAGGGGCAGGGAGGGAGAGGCAGAAGCAGGCTCCCTGCTAAGCAAGGAGCCTGATGCAGGACTTGATCCCAGGACCCTGGGATCATGACCTGAGCTGAAGGCAGATGCTTAACTGACTGAGCCACCTAGGCACCCCCCATTTTTTTTTTTTTTTTTCATCTAAAAAAGAAGAGACAATGGTGCCTGAGTGGCTCAAACAGTTAAATGTCTGCCTTCGTCTCAGGTCATGATCCCAGAGTCCTGGGATCGAGCCACGCATGGGTCTCCCTGTTCAGCGGGGAGTCTGCTTCTCTCTCTGCCCATCACCCTATTTGTGCTCTCTCTCTCTCTCTCTCTCTCAAATAAATAAAATCTTTAAAAAAAAAAGAGAGAAAAAGACCCATGTCTCAGACTTTTATCCCCTCTACTAAATGCTGGGCGCATAGTAGTCAATTCTGTATAATTGAATATATTGGCTGATTACTGTATGTGACTGTAAATGAAAAGGACTTTCTCATTTTCCTTTTTTTTTCTTTAAAGATTCTTTTCAGTGACTCTATACCCAATGTGGGGCTCAAACCTACAGCCCCAAGATCAAGAGTTGCATGCTCCACCAACTGAATCAGCCTGGAGCCCCTCATTTTCCTCTTTTTGAGATAATCTTTTTTTTTTTTTTTTAAGATTTTTTATTTGAGAGAGAGAATGTGTAGGGAGAGGCAGAGGGGGAGAGAGAGGGACAAGCAGACTCTGTACAGAACCCAACACAGGGCTTGAGCCCAGGACCCTGAGATTATGGCCTGAGCCAAAAGTCAAGAGCCAGCCACTTAACTGACTGAGCCACCCAGATGCCCCTTTGAGATCATATTTAAAAAAATAATTTTCTTTCCATCTTATCTCAACAATACCCTCTCCTGAAAGTATCAAGTTTCTATTTTGTAGGCAGCATTTTTCTCTCAATGATGAGCAAAGCTGACCTTCAGATTTCTCCTAGACACTTAATAACAACAAGAACAACCAAAAAACCCACAGTACTTTTTTTCTGGTCCCTGATAAAATCTTAAAAGTTGTTGCGCTTTCTGGCAGCATTCATTCACTTAACAAAATAATACCGTTGTCCCAGGCATTAAATACAATAGTAAGAAGAAAAAGAAGTAAAGCATTAATCCCTGCCTTCATGGAGCTTTTAGTCTTAAGAATAGGACTAGATAGTGCAGAGTGGATTCGAGACTTGAAAGACTAGAGGCAGGGAAACTGTGATTACGATCTAGTCAGTTTTTCTCAATTCCTTATCTTTTCAGCATTGAACTTTATCTGCATCTTGATCCCCTACATTTCCCCTGTCACCTTCTCCCCATCGCCAACGCGTATATCTTCCTTTATCAGCTTTCTTCATTCTTTGTTCTTTCTTTGTATGTTTTTCATATTCGCTTGGCCATATTTGAAAGGTGTCAAAACCATGTACTCTCCCCTCATCTCCCCAATTAAATTCTTTAGTTTCTTCTAGAACATTTTTCTCCTTGCAGAGACAAAAAGGACACATTTGCTTTCTTGATATTTTTCAGACTGGGAGTCTTGGTATGAAATCAAGGAATTATCTCCAAAATGGTACATTGGTGAAGAGGAAATATCCCAGGGGATGGTAATGGAAAGACTTAGACGTTATGACGTTGAATATTCCAGTTTCAGAGAAGCCTGGAAATATGAGGGTGAATTTGCGCGGCATCAACAAAAGGAGAGGCATTTCAGGCAAGTGACAGCCCTTAAGGAAATCTCTGCTGTGAAAATGGACAATAAATATAATAATTCTGAGAGAAGTGTTCTCTTGAAATCAGTACTTTCAACACAAGAGAGAGTTCCCACAGTAGAGCAAGTACATAAATTTGGTATTTATGATAAAATGTTTCCCCCAAATTCCGTCCTAATTGAACGTAAAAGATTACCTGCTGAGAAGGACTCTTTGATAGATAATGAATGTGAAGAATTCAACCAGAGTACATACCTTAGTAAAGATATAGGAATTCGTCCTGGGGAAAAACCTTATGAAAGTAGTGATTTTTCAAATCTTTTAAGTTTCCACTCATTACTTACTCAGCATCAAACAACTCATTTTGGAAAATTACCGCATGGATTCAGTGAATGTGATGATGCCTTTAGCTGTTACTCATTCTTTACTCAACCTCAGAGAATTCACACTGGAGAGAAACCGTTTGTATGCAATGACTGTGGAAAAGCCTTTAGTCATGACTTCTTTCTCAGTGAACATCAAAGAACTCACATTGGAGAGAAACCATATGAATGTAAGGAATGTAACAAAGCTTTCAGACAGAGCGCGCACCTTGCTCAACATCAAAAAATCCACACTGGAGAGAAACCTTTTGCATGCAATGAATGTGGGAAGGCCTTTAGCCGTTATGCCTTCCTTGTTGAACATCAGAGAATTCACACAGGAGAGAAACCATATGAATGTAAGGAATGTAACAAAGCCTTCAGACAGAGCGCACACCTCAATCAGCATCAGAGAATTCACACTGGAGAGAAGCCCTATGAATGTAATCAATGTGGAAAAGCCTTCAGCAGACGCATCGCCCTTACTCTGCATCAAAGGATTCATACAGGAGAGAAACCCTTTAAATGTAATGAATGTGGGAAGACTTTTGGCTATCGCTCACACCTTAATCAACATCAAAGAATTCATACAGGTGAAAAGCCTTATGAATGCATCAAATGTGGGAAGTTTTTTAGGACTGACTCGCAACTTAATCGACATCATAGAATACATACAGGAGAGAGACCTTTTGAATGCAGTAAATGTGGGAAAGCCTTCAGTGATGCTTTAGTTCTAATTCATCATAAGAGAAGTCATGCGGGAGAGAAACCCTATGAATGTAACAAATGTGGGAAGGCCTTCAGTTGTGGCTCATACCTTAATCAACATCAAAGAATTCATACTGGAGAGAAACCTTATGAATGTAATGAATGTGGGAAGGCTTTTCATCAGATCTTGTCCCTTAGGCTACACCAGAGAATTCATGCTGGAGACAAACCCTATCACTGTAACGAGTGTGGGAATAATTTTAGCTGTGCCTCAGCCCTTAGACGACATCAGAAAATTCATAATAGAGAAACTCTCTGATTGTAACAAGTGTATGAAAGAAAACATTTAGTCACCACTCAGTGCTTATTAAATAAATATCAGTGAATTCTTTGGTTAATGATTCTATGAATGTAGTAAATATGGAGAAGCCTTCAGTTTATGAGCATCCTTTATTTGAAATAGCCTGAATCATAGACATCTGTTACTTTTGGATCTATTCTGTGCCCCATTTAAAACTTACCTCGCCCTTAGTGCAAATCATTCTTTTTTTTTTTTTTAAGATTTTTTTTTTTTTAATTTATTTGATAGATCACAAGTAGGCAGAGAGGCAGGCAGAGAGAGACAGGAGGAGGAGGCAGGCTCCCTGCTGAGCAGAGAGCCCAATGCGGGACTCCATCCCAGGACCCTGAGATCATGACCTGAGCCGAAGGCAGAGGCTTTAACCACTGAGCCACCCAGGAGCCCAGTGCAAATCATTCTGATGAAACTATTAGGGAGAGCAGTGGATTGGTCATAGGCCGGCCACAGTCTGGTTAATAAGGGATTGGCAGATGGCCCTGTTTGCACCACTAGAACCCTAGGGGGTATTGTTACAGATATAAGAAAAGATCATTTTTCCCCCTGGAATTGCAAGTTTCATGGATTTAAAGGATTTTTAAGGTTAAAAACTCACCGTAGCTTTTTTTTTTTTTTTTTTTTTTTTTTGTCACCACATGAGGAAAGCCTTCCCAAGATCAGTCTAACACAGAGGAAAATGGAGATAAGAGACAAATCTGATGACATTGTTTGATCTTCTGAATTCAGGCATGCCTGAAGTCTATACCATTTTTTACTTTTTAATTTCTGTGGTCCAATAAATTTCCTTTTTTTTTCTTTTCTTAATTTGAATTGGATTTCTGCCTCTTGGAATTACAGTCCTGATTCATACACCCTATGTTTGCTGTACATTTGAAAAAGCCTTAATTTTTTATGGCACAATTATCCTGAGAAATTCTTTGTAAAACAAGTATTTGGAAGTTGAATACACAGCCTTCATGAAGCTGAGAGAATTATTATGTTTTACTTGTTGATAAAAATTAATTTGGTATTTTTTAGACTCATTATAAGGATAAATTTTTTAAAAATCACCTAGTAAAACTCCTTAACAGGCTTTCCCATAAAGAATTAAAATCATTTGTGGTGGCGACTCACTATAGGCCTTTAAAGAAAGAGGGACAGGCTAAGAGAATAACGGATTTGTCACATTAATGAATGGCTCCTCATCTTAAAGGAATTATTTGATTTTCTGTTTTCAGAATGGGTTTAAGCATACTGTGTATTAGAATATAATAGAGTTGTAAATGAGGTTTTCTTTTGTGGGGAGACTGTAAGCTTGGCTTAAGAAGTTTATGGATAATTTCGTTGAACTAGAAATTCAGACAAAGATATTACCAGCAGACAGAAAGGATGGGACATTTCCAACTCATAGTAAAAGTAAAACAGTTAGAGCCTAGAATTCTTAGGCTATAAGTTATTACCATTCTTCAGAGTAATGAGGAATATGAGGGTATAGGGCAGTATATTCCTATTGTAAATGAGTGGGTATAGAGAGGTAAACTGATGATACGATAATGGGGCCACCTTAAAAAGTTAGAACTGTTAGAATCTTGGACATTGTCTGGAAAGCATTTGTAAAAACAACAGAACAAATGAATTAAGAAAGAGTAAAAGATTTATATGTGTGCGTGGAGTGAAGCAATGACTACTACTCTTAAAATTTCTTTATTAGTCAATTTATATTTTATCTAATACAAATTTGAAAGTTTCCTGAGTATTAAGACAGATTCCCTTGAGACTGAAACCGTGGATTTAGTATGACTTAATACATCAAACCATGAACAGAAAAAAATATGATTATAAAACACTGCCAAACATACTATATTTAACTAAGTGACTAAGATGTTACTTGATATGCTGAAAATCTATGTCATTTCTTTATTCTTTCTTATATTACCTAGAGGTCTAGAAATACTTATTTTATTTTATTATTTTATTTTTATTGTGTTATGTTAGTCATCATTAGTTTTTGATGTAGTGTTCCATGATTCATTGTTTGCATATAACACCCAGTGCTCATTGCAATACGTTCCCTCCTTAATACCCATCACCGGGCTCATCCATCCCCCCAGTTAATTCTCTTTAGATGTGGACTAATTCATTTAGAACACATGGGCAAAACCCTTTCTACTTGGTTATTGAGTATGACCAGTGATGGTGGAACTGTTGGATTCCTTTTTTAATCTGGTTATTATGTTTCTGAACATATCTTTCTGCCATGTCAGTTTGTGCAATTTTTGCTTGTCATATTTAAATTTTTCTTTTATATACTCTTAATTAAGCAGGATGTGTATGTGTGTGTTTTATTGAAACATTTTGTATAGAGTGCTTACTATGTGCCAGGCTTTGTTCTAATGTAGGCATTGGAGATACAGTAGTGAACTACCCAGAAACCACTGCTTTTCTTTTCTTTTCTTTTTTTTTAAAGATTTTATTTATTTATTTATTTGACAGACAGAGATTGCAAGTAGGCAGAGAGGCAGGCAGGGGTGTTGGGAGCAGGCTCTGTGCTGAGCAGAGACCCAATGCAGGGCTCGATCCCAGGACCCTGGGATCATGACCCGAGCTGAAGGCTGAGGCTTTAACCCACTGAGCCACCCAGGCGCTTTTCTTTTTTTTTAATAGAGCTAATTTCTACTGAGGAAAACCAACAAATATATATATATTTATGAAAAAATATGTAAGAGTAAATTCTAAGGAGAAGAAGATGAAGGAAGAGGTAGGAGACAATGTTTGTATTTTAAATTGTATGGCGAGGGAAGGAAGTCTCTTGAATTTGACTATTAAGGAGATGAAAAACCTGGGAAAGTAAGAGATCTATAGGTAAGAGATCTATCTATACTGTGTATACACACACACACACACGCAATTTGTATGCCTTATATGCCTATTGGAAAGGTAATCCATATGTATGTGAATTATGTATGTGTATATATATGTAATCCATACATGTAAATATTAACTTTGTACTTACTAAATTCATTCTCATATGTATCATTCATTCTGTATTTGTGTACTGCATTTTAACATTTTTTTTAGTCTCATGAATTCATGACCTTTTATAATCTTAACATATTTCAGTTAATTATAATGTATATATTGTGATGCTCAGGTTGTCAGAACGAGCCACCGGGGATCGATTCAGACTGACCCTTTGCGCCCTTCAGCACTGCTCTAACATCTTTGCAAGCATCCTTACTTTCTGACAATAATAGAATGTTCCAGACCCATCCTCAGTGTTTTTTGCCCAAATCATGAAGTTAGCTACCATGCAAGGAATTTAGGGAGGGAGAAAACAGGCATATGTATTCAAAAGGGGATATGAAATCAGAAATAGAAGTTTCCCTCTTAAGAAAGGAAATAATTTTTCTCAGTTAAAGGTCTTGCTAGCCAGACTTGGGGTTCTAAGAAAGAGTCTAAGTAAGATTGGGTTGTCCATATACACTGTGTTTTTTGTTTTCTATCATTTCTGTTGCTCAGAAGGAAAAAGATAGCTCAACTCCATGGTAGAGCTTACTTTGATAAGTATATATTAAGCTCACCCTAATAAGAACTATATGTTTATTATTGTTTACAAAACGAAGTTGTGGGACGCCTGGGTGGCTCAGTTGGTTAAGCCGCTGCCTTCGGCTCAGGTCATGATCCCAGCATCCTGGGATCGAGTCCCACATCGGGCTCCTTGCTCAGCGGGAGCCTGCTTCTCCGTCTGCCTCTGTCTGCCACTCTGTCTGCCTGTGCTCACTCTGACAAATAAATAAATAAAATCTTAAAAAAAAAACAAAAACAAAAACAAAAACGAAGTTGTTTCAGGATTTTTGAAACACTGTTTTAATAAGTTAAAAGTGGCCAGAAAGTTAATGATAATTTAAAATTGCCTCAACTGATGTAAATGAGTCAAAAGGAAATGTCACTAAGCTTCTCTAGATGCCTTGTGATTCCACTTGTTCTCTTCTGGCTACAGAAGGTTTTCTTTTTAAAAGTTTTTTTCCAATCTCTCTTCCTGAGAAAACACAATACAAAGCTTTGTGTGAAATATAAATAAATTTCCCACAGAGTTCTGTGCCCTTTTAGTAGTTACGATATTTGGATGCTAGGACTTTGCATGAATTTTGGGCAAAATTGCTGTCATTTATGATTAGGCTCCTTTTAGAGACAGCTGGGAAAAATGTTTCCTTTTTTGAATATGATTTCACATTGATTTCAAGTTCCTACTTAGCATATTAATTTGCTGTACCCTACTAAGATTTTCTTCTTTGTCCACAAAACTCAAGACAGACAATGGGTTATGTAGTGGAGAAAAGCAGATTCTTTGAAGCCATGAGGTGAGGATACTTTAGTGACAGAGAAATGACTCACCTTCCTGGCCAGCTAGCTTCCTTTCCTTATTTTCTTTTTTCTTTTTCCATTTCTTTTCTTTCTTATCTTTCCTTCCATTTTGAGGATTTTTAAAATTTATTTGACACAGAGTGGGAGAGACAGTGAGAGAGGGAACTCAAACGGGGAGTGGGAGAGGGAGAAGCAGGCTTCCTGCCGAGCTCGGAGTCAGATGCGGGGTTCGGGGTTCGATCCCAGGACCCTGGGATCATGACCTGAGCCAGAGGCAGACACTTCATGACAGCCACCCAAGGCCCCCTCCCCCACCTCCGGTCAGCTTTCTTAAAGCCGTTTGCATGGTAATTCACATATTCTAACCAGAAAAAGTAGTGAAAGTATCTGCTATTTTGGTTATTGGCACAAGTAGAGGTGTTGGAGTCAGACAATCGTACGGATGGCAGCTCTTTTAGGAGAAACTGAGAAGTGATTATACTTCGTTTGAGCTTAGTTTAGTTATCTATAAAACTGAAGTAATAGTTCCAGCCTTTTGTTTTTATA